GGAAATTTCGTGAAAAATAAGGAAAAAAGACAATTTTAAATCTTACTTGAAAAAACTTTTTTGAGATGCAGTCGTACATTTGCAATGAAATTATTGATAAATGAATTTCTCACGCTACGTTTTTTTCATTCGAACGTATGTCGCGCGATTGTTTGACGTTCTAGTTTGAAGCAATATCCTTATTAAAAAAAAAAGTGAATATTGATTGGCAGACGTGAACAACAGAAGTTCTCTGTTCAACGCGCATGGAATATATATGTATTTCGACTGCAGATAATATACGTTGGCGTTTAATCGTGTTAATACTGAAAATTGCACCTCGATAAACAACTTGGAAATAAATCGGAAAATAATTTTTTTGCGATACTTACACATTATAATTTATTTCTTTTATTTCTATACATATAATAGTGAATTCGATTGGATGCACTCAGAGCTCATTGATGCACATTGAAACCATCGTACAAATTAACATAAAAATGTGTTTAATATAAATATAAAAACGGATTACCACTAAATTTTTAATACATTTTATTGTTAAGCATAATATTAAAATTTGTATCTTATATTTGAAATATATGTATATATATATATATATATATATATTGCATTTTAATTTTAAAGTAATAATTACATAAATCAGTGTATAACGGCTTTAATATGCACTACTTCGCATTAGTGTGTCCAACTAAAATCATTATAAATTAATCATGTCCTGCATAATTGATAACGCATCATGTGCATTGTGATTTAAAGATAAAATGAAAACGTATTCTAACCTTATAAAATCCCGTTGGAACATATACATTTCGATCAACACCATCTGGCAGACTTGCATTATCTTCAGAATATATCGTCTGGAACAGAAATCATCTCTTAAATACTAATAGATTAAAAAAGAGAGTTACATAAGACAGAGTATTGATAAACTTTAAATACTCTAAATGCTTCAGTAATCGAATTTTTAAAACTAAACGCAAATTTATAAAAAAAATTAATTAAAATAAATTCTCGTTATTACATAATAATGTAATTTCTTTTATTTGAAAAATGTTTTTCACTAATAATTATTTAACATGTAAAAAAAAATATTGTTGACTTGACATTTCAATTAAATTAAAACGACTCAGTGAAAATTGGTCAAAGATTCTGTCGTTAAATAAAAAATTCCGACATGCTTTGTAAATAAATGTAAAGTCAAGGCAATAAGGGAAACTTATTTTCTTTCTGTTCTTTCTCTTATTCGTTGTTGTGAGAAAAAAGTACGAATTTAAAAACGGACGCTTTCTCTTTTGCTTCTGTATCTTAACTATGTAGAGAAATGATAAGAAACGCGTCAACAGAATAACGTACAATGAAATAAAGTCTTCTTTATGGTTGCTACTCCGGATGCTCTGGAAGTGGGTAAGCACTACTCGCGGAGTAATACTTTCCACCATTGTCCTCTTTCCTTTCTTTAGAGATCCTACCTGAGGTACGAACACCACATCCTCTCAGGAATGAAAATTATTGGAAACGCTATCGGGATAAGCTATGATGAAAATTCGATCGCAATCGCGACGTTGTTTATTTTAACCACTATAACTCATCGCGACAAATATTTGCTTAATCCACTCGAATTACTTTTTGAAATCCCAGATAATTAAATTGTGTCGTTACCGCAAGTAAGGCAATGTTATAAATTCTACAAGGATCATGTGAAAATTGCATTTTCCATCATATTTACCAGTTCACTACCGCGAAACTTATTCGCGATTAGGGAGTACATAGAGCCTCTTGTCTTCGCGTTAGGTATCACGATTAAGTCGTCCCAATGCACTTTCCATGTCATGGAGGCAATTTCCGCTTCCAGTTTGAAACGCCTGCAAAACAAACGACAATATTATCGGCGGATAACTCTCGAAAAGAGCCAGGGACGAGGCGTATTAAAAATGTTTTATGCAATATTTTATGGCTTTATGATAAATCGCGCGCTTAATGGCGCTTAAACGTATACAGTGTGTGTGTGGATTAATTCCTGACAATTGCATTATCTATTATTCTTTCTCATGACAAAGGGTTGCGCGTTTTTCCTTTGCTGATTAACGAGATGCTTTTTATCAACGGTAATTATTACGTAGCGTACATAAAATATACGCGAAATATTTTCACGATGTCTCCATCCATACAAAAATGCAATTTGTCAACTCGATAAATTTGCGTGCACGAGTATGTGTGTGGGTGAATGTCCGTACATACATGCTTGTACATACATGTTACTTGTTCGGTATATTTCACCTGATATCTACTT